GCCAAAAATGTATTCTGCTACATGTCTTTGCTTACAAAAATCCCAATATGTGTAAATTAATTGGTTTAAGTGAAAGTTATGGTGGTATATATACTTGGATTTTTTATTTTTTTTACTAGCAATGGCAGCGATTAGTGACTTATAGCAGGACTGCGGGAGTGCAGGACTGCGGCGGGCATTTTGACACTGGGGGGAACTGGCTTGGTGCCACTGACATCCCCAGTTGCACCAATACAGTGATCAGTGCTAATAAACAGCACTGACAGTGTACTAATGACAAAGAACAAAGGTATACCGCTCAGGCAAACCATCCAGATCAATCCACAACAGGTGCAGGCTCTGGCTCGCAACCACACACAATGTAATAGGAAGAAGGGTCAGCTGCACACCGGAGGATAGATGAATATAGTGTATATTTATCGATCCATAGGACACACAAAACACCAGGACATGAATACAGGACCTGTTAACGCGTTTCACATGATCTCGTGCCTAATCATAAGATTAAACATGTTAACAGGTCCTGTATTCATGTCCTGGTGTTTTGTGTCTCCTATGGATCGATAAAATATACACTATGTTCATCTATCCTCCAGTGTGCGGCTGACCCTTCTTGCAATTGCACTGTACTAATGACACTGGGCAGGAAGGGGTTAACATCTGGGGCAATCAAAGGGTTTAACTGTGTGCTGTTTCACTGTGTGCTGTGTGTGTGCTTTACACTGTAAGCAGACTGCTTTGTATGGCACTGCTATGCCGAGCCATACAAAGCAGTGTGCTTGAGCTGACAGGGGAAAGATCTTTGTTGTTTATATACAGGTCTCTCTCCCCCATCGGTAATACTTGGCGATCGGGAGTCGGCGAGTAATCACCGGGCAGGACCTGGCGATTGATAGCCGAGGCCACGAATGGCAGCGTGGGTAGGGCGCGCGTGCACCCTCTATCCATAACTGCACAATCATGTATATATATACGTGATTTTGTGCCCAGTGCTGCCCTGTAGCAGTATTTCTGCTATAGGGCGGCACGGAAGCAGTTAATAAACAGACTCTTACCTGTCCACAGATCCTTTAGTGTGCTCACCCAAGGGGGGCGCCAGGTATCATCTTCAGTCCCTGATGCCGGCATCTTAGCTGTGGCCACCTGGTTGTGACAGCTTGCGGCTTCACAGCCGGGTATCCATTGCGAATGTGTGAGCCACGCTGCACACTGTGATTGGCCCCACAGCCTTTTAGGACTTGTGCTTGCTCCCAGAAGACTGTGGAGAGGGAGGGGGGGGGGGCACTTCCACTTGGATCGCCTAGGCGGTCCCAGAGGAAGTGGGAGCGGGTACCTGTCAAAATCAGGTACCCGCTCCCCCCCCACCTCCCAAAAAGATTGCCAAATGTGAAAGAGGAGGCGGGGAGGAGGCCTCTTTTGGGTGGAGTTCTGCTTTAAGTATCAGTGGTATAGAAAATAATAAGAAAAAGATCCCTGGTGTCATTGCAGCTTAATAAATGTAACATTGATGTTACAATGTGGCAGATTTAGAGCTGTACATTGTTGTATAATTGGCTATAACTGGCAATATTGTGGGCTGTACTTTTACGAGCTCTCATTTGTTGCAGAAATATTTAGCAACCCTCTCCAGAGTAAGACCATCAATGCTTAGGAAGCAGCAGAGGTAGGACTTGGCACCGGGGTGGTTGCAGCAGAGAACTCAGTGCATCACATATTTTGTTGTACAGTTGGTTGAGTAGATCAGCTTTAGCCAAGTTGATTGTACGAGATGAAACAGTCCGCTACTACTGTGTGTGATGCTGGATTTATGCCAGTGTGTGGAGGTGCCATGGGTGTTAAGATGAGTTTGAAGTCCATGCAAGTGAGGTGCCAGTGAGGTAGAGAGCAATTTCATTTCTGCCTTCCCCTTTTTTTTTTCTCTCTGTCTCTTATTTAACTCGGAAACCTGTGTTTACTATATCTGGTCTCCCACAGAAGCCTCCTTCATAACAATTACTGGTTAAATCTTGGAGGAGGAGTTTTCATTCTCCACTGATTGTCCTATGAAGCTGCATAGCCCCTGACCCTCTGCCTGGACAGCGCTGATTGGCCCTGTGCTGATCACATGCATTCTCCCAAGAAAAAAAAAAATTCTCTAGCAATAGACACCAAACTGAGCATGTGCAGCTTGCCCCCGAGGCTCTTTTGTATCAGTAGATGAAGGGGAGGATCAGAGAAAACAGGGTCAATCATCCATTTTACAGAAGGCAGAGAATTAACCCCTTAGGTCCCACAGTGACCAAGCATGCTTTAATGCATATACAGACTGATTTTACTGTTGTGGGTTTAGTTACACTTTAAATTATCTATGCTTGTTGCCATATTATGGTTATGGTTACATTACCAATTAAAAGCCCAACTGAACCTACTGATTTTATTATTATTATTATTATACCGGATTTATATAGCGCCAACAGTTTTTGCTCAGCGCTTTACAATATAACGGGAGACAATACAGCAACAATACAGTTCAATACAAGAGGGATAGGAGGGCCCTGCTCCTTGGAGCTTACACTCTAGGAGATTTTATTGCTATGATGCAGTAAGGCTGCATAAACAGTAATAAATATTGTCACCTTTTTATTTGTTTAATTTCTATGCATGCTGGAATGCTGGACTTCTGTTCTACATGCAGTCACGGTCTACAGCCGTCTGACAACCCGCCCCCTGTGCGGTGCTCCAATCAGCATAGCTCATACTCCCTGAATAGTGCCGTTGATTGGAGCAGTTTCCATTGAAGGATGTTGGAACTCTGGAGACCTGGACCGCTGTGTTCTGTGTTGAGTGGAGGTCTGTCTCTTCTGAGTGCTGCTAGCATAGAGTGTTTTCACCCTTCGCTTCAGCAAATAGAAAGTAAACAAATAGCAAATATGATTGTATTTATTACTGTCTCACACAAATAAAGCTTTCTTTTGGTGGTATTTGATTGTCGCTGGGGTTTTTATTTTTTGCACTATAAACTAAAAAAGACCAACAATTTTGAAGAACAAATAGTTTTTTACTTTTTCTGCTATAAAACATATCCAATTAAAAAAATAAATCTAATTTCTTATAAATTTAGGCCAAAATGTATTCTGCAATATATTGTTTGGTAAAAAAAATCACAATAAGTGTTTATTGATTAGTTTGCACATAAGTCATAGCGTCTACAAACTATGGGATATATATACTGGAATATTTCTTTCTTTCTTTATATTTGTTTATTTTTTTATATTAGTATGGTGGCAATCAGAGACTTATAGCAGGACTATAATAGTACGGTGGTCAATCTGGGTCTAACTGACCCTTTGTGGGAACCAGTAACCCTAATACAGTGATCGGTGCTAATAATATAATCTGAAACTGTGCTAATGACACTAATTGGGAAGGGGTTAACATCTAGGGGCGATCAAAGGTGTATGCCTGTCAGGAATGGACTAGCCAGCAATGGTGGGACTCACCTGCCTTTTGATCTGCAGTACCAGGGCTGGCCAGCGGGGTGCTCCCAGCAATCAGAGACTCAACTTTGCAGCCAGCTAACACCTGGAACTGATTATGCTGGGGTATTTAAGGGATGGCCAGACTTGCAGACTCTGCCTTGGTGTTGTGTTCTCTTGGGCCCTGTATCCTGTTCCTGCTCTCTGTTCCTGTCTGATTCTCTGCTGACCCTGCTCTGATCCCTGGCTTGTCTGACCATCCCTCTGCCTGACCCTCTGTACTACGCTACTTGCTACCTGTTCTGATCCCTGGCTTGTGACCCTGACCATCCCTCCGCCTTACCCTCTGTACTACGCTGCTTGCTACCTGCTGAACCTGGCCTGTGACCCCGACCCATCTCCGCTTGCTCCCCCTGTACCTACCTGCCCTATTGATATTGACCCGGCCTGCCTGACGACGCTTGCTTGTATGTACTGTTATCTGTGGGTGGTTGGTTTGGTTTGGTTTGGTTTCACTGTATTATGTTTTAGTATTGCACTGCGTTTATGTTTGTATTGTTAGTGTTAATAAATTATATTGTTTATAACATATCTGAGGTCTGCGTTTCCCTGCGTCAGTCACACACATCTGGTCACACCTGGGAGCCCTGACATTACACCAAGGCCAATCCTGACCAGAAGTGGCTGCACAGGGAAGCCATCTTGGCTTGTTGCTGGGAAGGATGGATCTGGATGAGGTTGTGTGTATTTTATATCTGCTAGTGTTTGATGACAGGGAGTATGCTTATCAAACTCTGAAGGAGTATACCCGGGATGAACTGCTAGAATGTATACGGCTCGCTCATGTTCTAGTAGATCAGGGCACAGAGTTCTCTGAGGTGCAGCCTTTGATTGAGGTTTGTGCTGAGTTGGTTTCATCTGGTTCCCCTGAATGCGGGGATGAATTTTTGCCACCATTTAGTGCAGACCAGGTAGAGTCCCTGGTGTGGTTATTAGAGGATGATGTGGGTTTACTTTCTGGAGCGTTATTCCACATGTTCACCACAGACACTAAGAGATTGTATAAACGCAGTGCAGTCATTGACCAGACAGGCTTTGTGTAAGCTCAGCTTTGTTCAACCCCTACTGCAGACATGGACAGACTTGTTGCACCCAGCCTCAGTCAGCTTACAAAAACCCAGTCCTGCTTCTAACTCTACTCCTGTATTCCCACCAGCTCCTCCAGTTACAGCCCAGTATACTTGGCTATCTACCGCATGTCAGTACCCTGTTCCCACTCGCTGCACCTATCCTGCCTTTAACCCTGTAAAAAAGCCCTCTGTAGCAACTGCTCCCCTCTCCTGTTCCATCCTCCAGTTTTTCTCTGTCTCCAGCTGCTCCATTCGTTTGCAGACCTGCGTTTACTTGCAGTGCTCCAGTAGTTAAAACCAGAAAAAAGCAAAAATTCTTTCCAACCAATACCATCCTGCCAGTATCCAAACCGGTGAACCTGCCTTCCGTGACTCAGCCTGAAGCCTCTACTCAGCCGGAAGCCTCTACTCAGCCGGAAGCCCTCTTCAGCCGGATGCCTCTCTTCAGCCGGATGCCTCTCTTCAGCCGGATGCCTCTCTTCAGCCGGATGCCTCTCTTCAGCCGGATGCCTCTCTTCAGCCGGATGCCTCTCTTCAGCCGGATGCCTCTCTTCAGCCGGATGCCTCTCTTCAGCCGGATGCCTCTCTTCAGCCGGATGCCTCTCTTCAGCCGGATGCCTCTCTTCAGCCGGATGCCTCTCTTCAGCCGGATGCCTCTCTTCAGCCGGATGCCTCCATTCAGCCTGATGCCGCTACTCAGCATGATGAACTGATCCAGCCCGACGATCCTATTAGGCCAGTTGACTCGATGCCCGCTGTTGATCCAGATGATCCGGTACCTGATCCAGTGCCCGCTGTCGTGCCAATTGACTCAGAGCCCGCTGTCGTACCTGGTGACCCGGTGCCCCCACTGCCTTGCCAGATGACGCGGTGCCCGCTGGCAAGCCAAATGACCTGATGCCTGGTGACCCAGTGCCCGCTGTCATACCTGGTGACCCGATGCCCGCTGTCGAGCCAGACAATCCGATACCTGATGACCCGGTGCCCACTGTCGTGCCTGTTGACTCGGAGCCCACTGTCTTGCCAGACGACTCGGGTGCCCGCTGTTCTGCCAGTCGACTCGGTGCCCGCAGTCTTGCCAGACGACTCGGTGCCCGCAGTCTTGCCAGACGACTCGTTGTGCCCGCAGTGTTGCCAGACGACTCGGTGCCCGCAGTGTTGCCAGACGACTCGGTGCCCGCAGTGTTGCCAGACGACTCGGTGCCCGCAGTGTTGCCAGACGACTCGGTGCCCGCAGTGTTGCCAGACGACTCGGTGCCCGCAGTGTTGCCAGACGACTCGGTGCCCGCAGTGTTGCCAGACGACTCGGTGCCCGCAGTGTTGCCAGACGACTCGGTGCCCGCAGTGTTGCCAGACGACTCGGTGCCCGCAGTGTTGCCAGACGACTCGATGCCCGCAGTCTTGCCAGACGACTCGGTGCCCGCAGTTCCGCCAGTTGACTCGATGCCCGCTGTTCCGCCAGTTGACTCGGTGCCCGCAGTCTTGCCAGACGACTCGGTGCCCACTGTTGTGCCTGGTGACTCGGTGCCCGCCGCTTCGCCTGGGGGCTCGAGACCTGTTGCTCCGCCTGAGGGCCCGAGACCTGTCGCTCCATCTGGGGGTCCGGCGCCCGCCGCTCCGCCTGAGGGCCCGAGACCTGTCGCTCCATCTGGGGGTCCGGCGCCCGCCGCTCCGCCTGAGGGCCCGAGACCTGTCGCTCCATCTGGGGGTCCGGCGCCCGCCGCTCCGCCTGAGGGCCCGATGCCTGTCGCCCCGCCTGGGGGCCCGATGCCTGTCGCCCCGCCTGGGGGCCCGATGCCTGTCGCCCCGCCTGGGGGCCCGATGCCTGCCCGCCCCGCCTGGGGGCCCGATGCCTGTCGCCCCGCCTGGGGGACCCGATGCCTGTCGCCCCCCGCCCGGGGGCCCGGCGCCCGCCCCGCCCTGGGGACCCGATGCCTGCCGCCCCGCCCGGGGGCCCGGCGCCCCGCCCCGCCTGGGGACCCGATGCCTGCCGCTCCCCGCCCGGGGGCCCGGTGCCTGCCCCGCCCCGCCCGGGGGCCCGGTGCCTGCCGCTCCGCCCGGGGGCCCGGTGCCCTGCTGCTTCGCCTGGTAATCCGATGTGCCTCTGCCCGGAGTCCTGCCCGATGTGCCTCTGCCCGGAGTCCTGCCCGATGTGCCTCTGCCCGGAGTCCAGCCCGATGTGCCTCTGCCCGGAGTCCAGCCCGATGTGCCTCTGCCCGGAGTCCAGCCCGATGTGCCTCTGCCCGGAGTCCAGCCCGATGTGCCTCTGCCCGGAGTCCTGCCCGATGTGCCTCTGCCCGGTGTGCCCCTGCCCGGTGTGCCGCTGCCCTGGAGTCCTGCCCGATGTGCCAGTCTTTGATATCCCGCCAGTTACCAGACCCGGGCGGTGGAACATTTTGCCCAGCTAGGACTGTTTGGAGCGTCCTGAGGCCACTCCTTGAGGGGGGGGGGGTACTGTCAGGAATGGACTAGCCAGCAATGGTGGGACTCACCTGCCTTTTGATCTGCAGTACCAGGGCTGGCCAGCGGGTGCTCCCAGCCCCCAATTGGACCGGCATCGGGCCCCCAGGCGGGGCGACAGGCATCGGGCCCCCAGGCGGGGCGACAGGCATCGGGCCCCCAGGGGGGGCGACAGGCATCGGGCCCCCAGGCGGGGCGACAGGCATCGGGCATCGGGTACCTACCTGCCCTATTGATATTGACCCGGCCTGTCTGACGACGCTTGCTTGTATGTACTGTTATCTGTGGGTGGTTGGTTTGGTTTGGTTTCACTGTATTATGTTTTAGTATTGCACTGCGTTTATGTTTGTATTGTTAGTGTTAATAAATTATATTGTTTATAACATATCTGAGGTCTGCGTTTCCCTGCGTCAGTCACACACCTCTGGTCACACCTGGGAGCCCTGACAATGCCTAACAGTGCTTTGTGTGTACTTTTACAAGGAGATGAGACAGTCTTTATTTCCTGCTTTGCAGGGAAAACAAAAATTGGCACATCCCCAATGACAGGGCAGAGCTCTGTATTGTGTACATACACAGAGCTCTTCTCTGTCAGCCTCTTCTCTTGGTTGGGACCTGCTGATCAGCTTGTGCTGCGTCTAATCACCTCTACCTGGAAGAGCTGGATCACGTACCGCCTTGCTGCCACACATGTAAGTGATGTGGTCAGCAAGCAGTTAACGTGCACCTGTGCCTGTGTGCTTTTCCATATTTTTAAAGTATATGTAAACCCTCACCTTGTAAAAGAATACATTGAGTTTAAAATAGAAGTGATAGGAAAAACATTTGTATACATATAAGAAAACATTTGAAATACCTTTATTCCACTTTTTTTATAAGTGATCACATACCCTCTGTTTTCAGCTGCATAAGAACCTCAGAGAGCTAGAGAAGGAGAAACAGCAACACTCTGATCTTCCCAGTGAAGGGCTGTGCAGAGGGGGCGTGTCAACACAAGTCTAATCATTGGAAGAGAACAGGCTGAATTCTCAGCACAGCCAGAAAATGACCACGCTGTGCTCTCATGCCTTGTGTGGTCAGTTTTTAATAGGAAAGCAGAGGAACTGGCAAGAACACCAGGAATTTCAAAGGAAGCAATACAAAGAGAGCAGGATACTTTTTCATCAAGTACATGGTACAGCAGGCACATGTCAGAAATATGAAATGTTGGGTTTACATATTCTTTAAAAAGCAGTAAAACAGATTTAAAGTGATATTAAAGGCTCCTTTTTTTTTAATAACAAACATGGTACATGTATCTGCTCTGTGCTCTTGCACAGAGCAGCCCCAATCCTCTACTTCTTGGGTCCCCCACTGGCACTCCTCTTAACCAGTGCCTTCAATAGCAAGCTGCTTGCTACGGGGGTACTAGTGCATGCCTGCTCCCGAGCCCTGCTCTATACATCCATAAAACACATAGAGCCATGGCTTGGCCCTGCCCGCACTCTCTCATCATTGGCTTGCTGGCTGTGATTGACAGCAGTGGGAGCCAATAGTTCAGCCAATGAGGAGAGACAGTCAAGGCTCCCGTGCACATCACTGGCTCGAGATGGCGTTCAGCTGAGTATTAGGAGGGCGGTGGGGGGAGTAGCACACAAAAGGTTTTTTTTATCTTCATGCATAGAATGCATGAAGGTAAACAAAACCTTCAACCTTTACAACCATTTTAAAACAAGTCCTCCCTGACCCAGTTACAGATTACAGGACAAAAGTGAAGGGAAATCTCCCCAATGGGAAACATGACAATGGTTTTAATCCTTCCCTACTCTATCCAATTTAATATTTTAAATACATTTTAAGTTTCAGTGCTGTAGAAAATATTAAAAAGTTGATCCCCGGTGTGAAACTTAAAGTTTCTGTTACAATTCGGCACTTTTAAATTTCCATTTTGTTGTATACTTGGCTAAACTAAACCCTCCCTGACCTATATAGCTTCTTGTATTGTGAAGTATTTCACCCTCAAAGATCACAACAGAGCTCCAAAGTCAGTTTAAGTCAGTTCTGTACATAGGGCGATTGCTTTTCTCCTCTGAACGCCAGAACTCCTGGCAGGAGAAAAGCAGCATCAGATGTTTGAGCATTATTTGATTCCATTCACCAGAATATTAGATTATTCTGACCATTGGAATTCATTAAAGCTCAAATGAGCCTAAAAACGCCTAGCATTTAGACACTTTTGCAAGCATTTAGGCACGTCAAGCTGTTTTTTCTGCTCAAAAGCTCCTCTCCTGAATGCACTTGCGATGAGTTTTTTCAGTACGTAAATGCTCTCTTCCAATTTGCCTGTGTGCATGAACACAGGCTAACATAGAGGTGCTTTTACACGCCTGTAAAAGAGGTGTTTTTTAAAGCAGAACTCCAGGCAAAAACGTCTTTACATGTCCTTGTTGCTGATTTTCTACCTTCACTGAATATTTTTTCCATCTTCTGGTTCACTCAGTAGTTGCTCTGAAATAGCCTATTCATTTTCAAAGCAAACCGTTAATTCTCTTTGGGTTCCTGTTTGTAAGACCGGTGGCTGGTCTGTCTCCTGTTCCGCTAACCACTGGTCTTGGCACATCCCTTCTGTAGTTCTTTCTCCAGGAAGCAGTGATGTAATTCAGCCCCACTTGCAATGATGGGTGGACTGAGACTCTCAGACACAGTCAATAAGTACAGGCCTAGTGTACGCACTCACATTCACTACAGTTTCTCTGTGGTTGATGGGAACTGTAGTTACCTTTACTGCAGATAGGTGAAGATATGATGTAACCCCGGTTGTTACACCTCCTCCTTGGCAGAGCAGATGCTGTTAACTTTTGAATTATAGAGATGAGGTCATGATTCAATTCAATTAGACATTTCTCCTAAAGGGTGTATATTTTCAAAATTGTATTAACTGTTTAGTGTTTTGTATTGGGGGGTGTACTAATGGGTGATTTTATTTGCCTATCCTGGAGTTCTTCTTTAAGCCTTGTTCGCATGAGGCCTAACAACTTACAACACTCAGTATTTGTTTATGTTAAGGCTGGTTAGCTGCCAAATCCATGTTGCCTTAGAAAATAAAGGGATTTCAGTAGCTGTATTATACATTGTGAAGATACATTTCTCCACAATGCCTACAGCTACAGAGGACAGGGCTTGTTTTAAAATGCTTTTACTGCTTATTATGTGAAAATGACTTAATGTGCATAATCTGGCCACTGATGTACTTAAAGGGTCTACAACAACCTGGGCAACTTGTCCATGTCATAGCAAGCCAAAAAATCTGGTGCATGGATGTGTTGGATTTAAAGCTGGAAGAGGTTTCCCTGTACAATATGATATAAGGTGGACTCTTGTATTGCAATATAGAGGGATTACGTAAGGGTCCTGTGCACAATAAGCCATTCCGTGAAAGTTATGATGACAGTAGCAGATGGCCTATTTTTGCCCACATCTGGTTTTGTTCTTCATGTACTAAGAATGGCTTCTGTTGATGCCATCAGACATACTTTCCATTGCCCAGTCAGCTTTTTAATATGCTTTCCTTGTGCAATGCCACGCAATCCTATTCTATGAATTGCAG